TGTCTTCAAATAAGCAGCCATCTAAGTGAGGTATCAACTAAGTTTACATGGAAGCAGCATACCAGCCCGTGTGAACCAAGGATTGTAAATATAATCCAAATATAAAGGAGGGAATGGCATTAGAGCTTACGTTGTGAATGCCCAGTTTGCAGAAGACTATGGATGACAGTGGAAGCCCCAAACCCATTTGCACGGGCCACACACAGATGAAGGCTCCAGTGACTCCCGATCACAGCCGAGGGATGTGAACAGCCCTATTACCAGACAGAGAGCACTGTAAAGCCGATCCTGGCACACGTCGTTACGTCAAAATGTAGTATCTTATTTGATCTCCCCTTTGACCCATTTAAAAACTATTTTAGTAAAAAAAAAGTTAATTACGCTCTTTTGACCATGGACCATGGATGTGAACAGCCTTGCTAACATGCAGAGAGTGTTGGAAAGTAGACTGTTGAAAGATGCAGTTAGGTTAAAATTTGGCACCCTATCATTTGATCTCTCTTACGATCCATTAAAATTTTTTCTAGTTTTTAATATTTTCTGTTTTTATAAATTGAGACTTTTACCTGTTTTACTTTGCAATTCTTGTTAGATTTTTTTTTTTTTTTTAATGTTCTCGTGTATATGAAATCCAGGATAGGTAAAATTACAGAGTCAGACACTGGATTAATGGTTCCCTACGGGTATGGCACTGGAGGCTGGGGGAAAACGGGGAACTAATAAAGAAAACGTTTTAAAACTGATTGTGGTGATGTCAAAAAGCTCTCCTTGATATGACTGAACTATGAAGTTGTATGATATGGGAATTATATGTCAATAAAGGTGTTAAAAATGTGGGGGTGGAAAAATGAAATTAAAGGATAATGGATTTTTCTAGACTATTTAAAGCCCCCTTGCATGTGATAAATGTTAGTTCTTTCTCTTCTATTCTCTACCCATTCATTACTACATTCATGTTCTCTTTATAATTTCCATTTTCTTTGAATGACATTTTAACAATAAGACTCACACTCTGATTTGACGAATAGGTCCATATTTTCCAAATATATCATACATTTCTTCAGCTGTGATTTTGTATGGCAAATTTCTTATATATAAAATCCGATTCACTTCAGGCGGAAGTCGAATCTAAAACGAAAAACATGTACTGTCATTATAATCAGGGGCAGCAGTGCTGCTTAAAAACACTCTCAGTAGTATCTATTAGTAAAATGCCACAAGTGCTATTACAGAAGGTAAAGGCTGTGTGTCTTTGCTCCATTAATATCACATTGCTTTGATTGATGAAACTATAGAAGATTCAGTGTTGGACTGAATAAACCCTCCCACTGGTTCTGCTTTGTCCAGATTGTCTCATATATTCTTGGGTCTTCCCTTCTCCACATAAGTTTTAGAATATGCTTCTCTATGTCTTAAAAAGACACCCCCCCCAATAAAATAATTAAAAAATAAATAAATAAAAATAAAGGAAGGGGGGAGGACAGGAATGAGATATATGACTAAATAAAGGCTTAAGTAATAAGTTGTAAGATATAATCGATAACGCAATAGTAACAAAAAGAATATACATGGAATTTTACTTAACTTGAAAACGATTAAAAAATAATAATGATGGCAACGTATGTACAAATATGCTTGATATATTTGATGTATGGATTGTTGTAAAAGCCCCCAATAAAATGATCTTTAAAAATAAAAAAGACCCTTTTCTGGGATTTTGGCATGAACTGTATTAAGTCTATAGATCATTTTGAGGAGAACTGAAATCTTTACTAAGCTGAGTCTTTCAACTGATGAGCACAGTATAAGCACACTTCTCCATTTATTTAGGCCTTCCTTGATTTCTCTTATATCATTTTGTAATTTTCAGCATACAGCTCATGTACATATATTCTCAAAAGTGTACTCAAGGATTTCATTTTCTTTGGGCCAATTACAAACGGCATTTTTGTATGTTTGTTTGTTTTGAAGCAAACATCCATTCACCTATAGAGCGCTTGCTAGCTTTACTTTTGTGCACATCTTTAACAAGAGTCCACCAGTGCTAAGAAGAAATATCTCCCCAGTGAATGGCGTGCTCTTTGGAAAAACACCTGGCTGCTGGTTCGAGGAGACAATTAGTGTGAATTAGTAGCGTACGTTATAAAACCAGACTTTTTGGTCACTATAATTCAGTGGTTCTCAACTTTCCTAATGCCGCGACCCTTAATACAGTTCCTCATGTTGTGCTGAGGCCCCAACCATAAAGTTATTTTCACTGCTACTTCATAACTGTCATTTTGCTACTGTTATGAATC